GTCGCAAATACCCGTTTACCTGTCTCCGCTACCCGTCGCCAGGTAAACTAAATTTGCGACAGTAAAACTACCGATGGACGTCCGCAAAGCTTCAAATACAATACAGTTATCTCTTAAGTATGGTTTCAGCTCATTGTCGAAGAATGTATATTTACCTATAATTGATTAAATTCATGTCATTTGGATTCTGTTGGATAGTTTTCTCATTGGCAATTATACCACATCTCCTAAATTTTATTTTCAAGTTTTTCATAATAATACAAGCATGACAAGTAAGGGTTGTTCCTGTACAAACATGCATTAGAACTCTGAAATTGTAGTGTCTTAGAGTTTTCATGAAGTGAAAGTTAAAAAGAATTCCAAAATTATAATATGCTGTGGATTCATCACTTTTTCGTGGTTTCTTACGTTTGTAGTTTAGTAAAAGCTTACATACTAGCCTAAGGAGAATTTGTACGTAACTATATTGAACGTTTTTGATTAGGTTCACCAATGAAATCTTCGAAAATTGATTTCCAACAAATATAAAACTGAATGATCTGCAGTAAATCTCTATAGATCTCTCTCGTTGCAACATTTTCAAAGTGCTTTCTGTTAGCCTAGGGGTCATCCATAATAATTGTCAACCATTTTCCAAAGTGTACAAAACGTACACTTGGGAGGAGGGGGTTAAAAAATCAAACATTTTTACCATACACTTTTTTTTAATTTCTGGAATATTTTCGTTTCCACAGGGTTCAGTTTTTATACCTCAATGAAGCTATTTATCATCTATGGGTTTGAAAATAATGTGAAATTGTACATTAAAAGTAGCATGTTTCAAATTATATGCAAGCATCACAGATACATGTCATAAAATAAAACAGTTATATGATTCAGTTTATTTTTAATGCAAATTTCTATATTAAACTAAATTATAATTATGATAATAGACAGGATCTTCTTTTTATTAAGAATGATTGATTCTAGTCTTGAAATCTGAAAATGGTTGATGTACACTTTTTTGAGGGAGGGTGGGGGTCTGAAAAAGTATTATGTTTTGTACACTTTGGAAAATGGTTGACAATTAATATGTGGATGACCCCTTAATCTTTACAAATTTATATTCTGAAAAATCACACTAAACTAGCTTATTACTTCTTATGGTGGTTCACTCTGCATTCAGAAGGTCACTTCCATATTGATTGAAGTTACCCTCTTTCCAGGCTTGTGACTGGCAAGATTTTACATATCTTGGCTGCATTCCCCACCCACCACCACATTGCAAATTTCAGTCCAAGAGGAACCTTTTTTATACTGTTCACTTTAATAAAATTGCTGTGTAAAAATAAGTTTGATTTCTATTTATGTATTAATTGTAATTTATATAGCAAAATGATTACATAACTTTCCCATGTTTGCTGCCCACCTTTATTTTTTAGTCTGAAGAAACTATAGTGATTTCAATTACTTTTTATTTTTACGGTTTTAACAAATTAAATGCTTGCCATTATTTGAAGAAATATTGTCACATGCAGACATAATTGATATTTTTTAAACATTAACCTGTTTAAATTAAAAAAGAATATGACTTATTCGCATATTTATCATTTACTCTATTTATAAATAACTTTTGTTCGAATGAGAGAAAAAAATCAGATTCATTTAATATCAGAATTTCCTGAAGGTGCTTGACTTGGACTGATGAAATAATGCAATACAAAATATGGCATGAAATGAAGCATGGAGAATTTTACACAGCAAGTAAACCCTTAAATGCCATTTACATCTTCTCTGAAACCACTGTTTTTAATACTTCTTCTTTGAAACCACTTTTTTTATTACACCTTCTTTGAAACAAAAAAATAAATTAATTTGCAATTTGAAAAAAAATTGGTATATTTTTGTAATATTGCCAGTCATTATGATTTTATTGTTGGCCCTTTTTTCAATTTCTGGTACTTTATTATTCATTTATTAAGTTAAATTATTTTATTATTTTTTCAGTCTTTATTTATATAAGAATATTTTAAACTTAATTAACTCTTCAAAAGGAGAAATTTTTAATGCACACAAGAACTGTGTACAAAACATTAACATGTTTAAACTTTATTTATGATTATAAACATTAAAATTAGTTATAAAAAAGCTATAAATTTAGCAGAAAATTTATGAAATCCGAGATGAGAAGCTAAAACACTTGTCATAATTTAGTTCAAAATGGTACAGATCATAATAAATCACATGACCAACCCTATGGCCAACCTACCATGATACTGTTTCCTATACACATTTTAGATGACCAGATATTTTAACCATCACCTGGATACCTAATAAAATGGCAAAGATTAACATTACCTTTTTTAGAAAGGAAAATAATAATATTACCATGATGACTACAGTGCATGTCAGTGTGACATTATTGAGTCAAGTCATATCCATTAATTGTTGTCAAATCCAGTGAATTGCTATGTCATATCCAGTAAATTATGTTGTCATATCCCAGGGGTGTCTGGTACTGAAAGGCCAATGCATCATCCAGCCTGCCTATGCTTTTATCTAGCAAGTCTGTATAAACGTCTCCTTCTAAATTCTAGATACAGGGTGGACTTGGTATTTCATGATTTTTGTGTCTCTTTCAACATTTCCTATTGAGCAAAGATTGGAATATGAGTTTAGCGTAGAAAAACCCACACTGACCCTTAATTCTTTCAGAACCCTATCAATGACTTTTTCCTATTATTTTAAGAAGTTTTTAAGAATGAAAGGTATAGCGCGGAACAACCACACTGACCCATGGTATACTAGTCATATCAAATAGTTGAAGGAAGGACTCTTAAATTCAGATGTTGTCTTTATAACTTGTTTAAAAATACTTGTCCCGTTGCATGGATGTACTTGTCCTATTGGTTGAACTTCGAATTTCCGCACCCCTGGGATTATCGAGTAAATCATTGTCATATCCAGTATATTTTTTAGTCATATTAGTTAAATTTCTGTCATATCCTGACAGTGATATCATCCTGATGTTATTGGAAACTTGGTATAAATCTCTGGTTGTACTCATGGCGGTAACTTAAGTACAGGTAATGAGGCCTGATACTGTATTCACTGTTTTGAAAAAAAGAATTTAGGAAAAAGCTTCTAACCATGCTTATTATTGAACCAAACTGGAATTGAACATTCTCATTATAGACCTAAAATATTTGAAAATTGTACTTGAATCAAACTTGCAATTGTATGAAACTATTTTAAAATCTGACATGTATTTGACTTCAGTTCCCATTTTTTACACCAATGAGTCTCAATATTACATTCTTGATAAGGTTTTTCTGCAGATTTATAGATATGCAGTCTCCTGGACTTAATTACAAAATATATTAATTTCAAACAGTTTATACTGAAGTTGTCAGAATACAGTATCAGCCATGTCTGTCTATTGAAGAGGTCCCCTTCATAAATCCTTTAATATTAACCACAAGGTCTATTTAAAAAACAGGGGCAGGCTTTGAAAATGAATGTAGTTGCAACAAGGTCATGAAGGTTTTAGTAAATGCTCCTATCGAAGGTCAAATTGTGACTAAGGTTCACATGGAAGAGCAGCAATTAAAACAGTTCTGATTTTCCATTTGTTTTGTCTTTTTGTAATTGCCTGTTGTTTACATGGGATGCTGTCTGCCATATTTTTTGATATTTTGCTTTAGCACAAATCAGGATATAGATTTACTGGTTTGAATCATTTCTCAATTTGTTCACGCCAGGTTCAATTGTATCTTGCTTCTTAGTATAGGTTTTGCTCATTGCTAAAGGCCCTCCTGAACAATGATCTAAAATTACATTCTAGTCTGTTTGTATGGCTATCTGAGGAATAATTGTGTCATTTGCAATTATATCACATTTCCTTATTTTTTGTCTCCTATTTCATACTGTATAAATTTTCCAGCCCTTATTATATATAGTTATACATCAGCAGTAGGAATTATTCGGAGGATTCAACACACATATTCAGTTATGGTAGTTTGTAATTATCCATTGTTTGAAAGTGTTGCCAGGGTACCCTCTAAACAACCTGCCCCCTTCCCCTTTTTTATGTTTTTTGCCTTTATGAAAATAGCCTTATGATCCAAGCCACTAAGGGTGCACATTTATATAAAAATATCCAGTGCACCATTTTACATATTAAAGTGCTCATTATACAATTTTATGATTGATCAATTCACTATTAAATGTACATTAACATGATTAATGTAGCGGTTACTGAGTATAGAATAAAGCAGGGTTCATATTCGTATAAAATTAACATGTTCTAGTCCTAATATGCATGTGATATTTGCCACTTGATGTTAAATACCTGCCAACATGGCCAAGAGGCTAAAAAAATATATAATTTATCTGAACTTAAACACATTACATTTGTTTGCACCGGTCCTAAGTCAGGAACCTGATGTTTAGTAGTCGTTTGTTGATGTGGTTTATAAGTGTTTCTTGTTTCTTGTGTTTTAGAAAGGTTAGACCGTTGGTTTTCCCGTTCAAATGGTTTTACAAATGTCATTTTTTGGGCCCTTTATAGCTTGCTGTTCGGTGTGAGCCAAGGATCTGTGTTGAAGACCTCACTTTGACCTATAAATACTTTTACAAATTGTGACTTGGATGAGAGAGTTGTCTCATTGGCACTCAAGCCACATCTTCTTGTATTTATAGAAATATAAATTCAAAGTGTATGATACATAACTTGCATGACTTGCGTATACACTGGATGTTTTTAAGAAATAACTATAGTCAAATAGTAAAAAAAGGTAGTATATGTAGAATTAAGAAAATTGTTTTTTCTTAAATTTCTTGTGCTGCACAGTGACCAATAGCTGCTTACATCTACATGTATGTCCTTTTGGTCAATTGTAGATAAATGTATCATTGGCAATCATACCACATCTCCTTATTTTATAACTTAAGTAGGTATGGCATTTTGTAAAATTATTTTATATGTAACATTTTAGAATTATTATGTAGTGCACTGGACATTAAAAGTAGTACATTCCCCAGTGATCAAGCAGCTTTTGAGCAATCTCCTTGTCAGCTAACAGATTCTCCCGGTTCTCCTTTCCATCATCTTTTGTTGTCTCGTCTTTCAGGGCAAAATATTTCTTGCTGACCTGAATCTGTAGCTTGGAGAAAGATTGATCAAAAGCCGATATAAAGGATTTATGACCGGGGTGTTTAAGCTTCAATTCCCTGTACTTAATGCAGTCTTCCACATCTGATGATGGGCCAAGTAGTTGGACAACCAGGTCGAATGTTGTCTTCTTTCTACGTGATGCTGAAGCATAAAAAGGTATATACTTAGTAAAATGATACTGAATTTTCACGTACATCCCTTCTCACAAGTATTTTTTTTTTTTATATTTTTTTAATTCAGTCAAACTAGAAAAATAGCTACATAAAAATGTATGTTTTATTCCTAAAATATTAGATGCTGCTGCATGCAGTGAGTAACTTTGTCTGCATACTAATCATGCTAATAATAATCTTTAATTTAGCACACAACTTGTAGAAATATTGATTAACAACATGCATTATATTAATTTTTATACCCCACGCAACGAGTTGCGGAGGGTATAATGTTTTTGACCTGTCTGTCAGTCCATCCGTCAGTCCTGTTTCTTGTCATCGCAACTCCTCTCAAACCACACAACAGAATTTCACGAAACCTTTTTAGATAATAAGGACATACTACGTAGATGTGCATATCGACAGGAAATTACGATTCAATTTTTTTTCTAGGAGTTACGCCCCTTTGAACTTATTTACTTTAATGAACTACTGCAACAGTTTGTCATCGCAACTCCTCTCAAACCACACAACAGAATTTCATGAAACCTTTTCAGATAATAAGGACATACTACGTAGATGTGCATATCAACAGGAAATTACAATTCAATTTTTTTTTTCAGGAGTTACGACACTTTGAACTTATTTGCCCAATATACTACTGCAACCTTTTGTCACCGCAACTCCTCTCAAACCACACAACAGAATTTCATGAAACCTTTTCAGATAATAAGGACATACTACGTAGATGTGCATATCAACAGGAAATTACAATTCAATTTTTTTTTCAGGAGTTACGACACTTTGAACTTATTTGCCCAATATACTACTGCAACTTTTTGTCATCGCAACTCCTCTCAAACCACACAACAGAATTTCATGAAACCTATTCAGATAATAAGGACATACTACGTAGATATGCATATCGACAGGAAATTATGATTCAATTTTTTTTCCAGGACTTACACCCCTTTGAACTTATTTGCCCAATATACTACTGCAACCTTTTGTCATCGCAACTCCTCTCAAACCACACAACAGAATTTCATGAAACCTTTTCAGATAATAAGGACATACTATGTAGATGTGCATATTGACAGGAAATTATGATTCAATTTTTTCTCTGATACAATTTTTTTTTCTTACACTTATTTTATTTCTCCAATGACAATGTGGGGACGTGGGGTATGTGAGCGCGCTCACTAAGGTTCTTTCATGTATTACAAATTTTATTTAGAAATAACTCTTCAGAAATGTCATTTCACTTCTTATATTGCTCTTATTAACTTATTACCAAAGTTCAAGTAATAATATTACAACTTACCAAATTCTTGGTTGGAAATTTCAGAATCAAATAATTTCCTTTTGCATGATAGTGGTTTCTTAGCTGAAATTAAAAGTTTTTGTTTTGAAAAAGGTGTGATTAACAGCAATCCAACAACATAGAAGAAAATTATTGGCTTCGATATATCTGATCAGTATTAGAAAATGAAGATTGTGTAACCTACCTGGTAATGGTTTTGGTTTGGTGATCAGGTTTTCATGGGCATCAGTGCTGTTATGTTGTACAGCCCATCTCAAAACTGAAATTAAAACATATTTTATATATATCCTGTATATCTGAATGATGTGGAGGTATTAGAATAGAAAGAAGTGTTATGATTGCCAATAAGATATCTCTACACTAGAGACCAAATCAACACAGAATTAAACAACTACAGGTCACTATACTTCATTCAACAAAATTTGTTGGTCAACAAATCTTGAAATGTTATTTTTTTATGGTCAGGTATGACATTGAGATTGTTAATAATGATAATACTGTGATTGGAGGGATTTTTATCTTTTAATACTGTATGTAGTCTTCTAAATGTGTACAAATTAAATGAATCATTCAAAGATCTGCCATCCAAATAAAAATATCTAAATACCATATACAAAAATGACATACTACTTCAAACAACGATCAGGTATATCAGTTGTTCTGCCTATAATCATCATAATGAAATGTGTGGTTAGCAAAATTGTTTACCTTTAATGTAGGATTTGTACTTGTCCTTGGTTTTGGAGTTCTCTTGTTGTTTTCTTTGATGGTCAACTGCTAGTACATGTACTTCAGGTGGGTCTGTTTTAAGGAAATGAGGGAATGTTTGCATTTTTATTTATTTACATTTTCACCATAGGATTTATGCTTTTAAGATGTATAAGAAATTACATAATATTTCAATAACTGAGATCATATATAATATATATTAACTGTGGATAGTATACACTTCAATATTAAATGAAGAAGAAAAAAATGGAAAGAGAATTGACACAATAAAGGTAGACATTTAAAACCCATAAATCAAAACAAAGCTTGCAATTACATTAATTATAAATAATTCAATAATAAGGAAAACTGTTGACTTTTTTTTTTGAAGAAGTATATATTATGTTTTATTTTCTGTAATTTTCAGGAGAAGCTTACCAGAATGACGAGAGGGTTTCACTTTCAGAAGTGTACACCCTTCCTCCATGGCATTGCTGACCTCATCATTTGAATCAGTACATTCATCTACTGGCAGATGACTAGAGTCCCTAATTTGATCCATTGGTTCATCATTTTCCTTGGTAATTGTAATAGCTGCAAAAAAGGTAAGTGCTTCTCTCATTAATCATGATCCAAATTTTCTCTTGCTTTAATATTAAAAATGACTGACTTGTTACTAATGCAGGACATTTATGTACATTTAAATATAAAAAAGAAGATGTAGTATGATTGCCAATGAGACAACTCTCCACAAGAGACCAAATGACACAGAAATTAACAACTATAGGTCGCCGTACAGCCTTCAACAATGAGCAAAACCCATACCGCACAATCAGCTATAAAAGGCCCGGAAATGACAATGTAAAACAATTCAAACGAGAAAACTAACGGCCTAATTTATGTAAAAAAAAACGAACAAAAAACAAATATGTAACACATAAACAAACGACAACCACTGAATTACAGGCTCCTGACTTGGGACAGGCACATACATACAGAATGTGGTGGGGTTAAACATGTTAGCGAGATCCCAACCCTCCCCCTAACCTGGGACAGTGGTGTAACAGTACAACATATTATGGGAAAAATGTACCCATTTTATGGGAAAAAATCACATCTGTTGATCATTAGTTTTTTAATAAACATGTAGCTTGAATGGGTCATCTCCTTCTCATAATAATGATTTTTACATCGGATGACCGTGATTGAATGTATATATTTATTCAAATTTAATAATACATATATATAAATGCATCTTTGGTACCATTATTTTACCTTCATAATCTTGTCTGTCAGGCTGGTAACTGATGGTGATATCTGATGCATTGTCTTCTGTAAAAGAGAAATTTATAGATTATAAAAAAAATGATGCATGTTAGCAGTGCACAAATATATACTTTTAGAAGAATAAAACAAATATTCCTTTTATTTAATGTATTCAAAAAACATATTATGAACATGATGAAAGTACCTTTCAATGTGTGTTTTTCACACCAAGACACATTTTTTGAATTTCCATCATCATCAAACACTTTCAGTTTTTTTAAAGGTAGCAGTAAATACCCACTTTCAAATTTATCGACTACCTTAGCCCAATCATTTTTCAAAATTTGTTCCTGGTCTTTCAGGCCAGATGATCTGAAATGGTGAAGTGGAGGTCCCTCAGGTCTTGAGGAGGGATCATTTGGGCCATCAAAATAGACCAACCCTCCATTTTCGAAAAACCACCAGACATCTTGACCCTGCAACATGAAATCTGCAATTCTCTCCAGATGGCATTGGACAAAGGAAGGTCGCTTATTGATTAGTTCTGCTGAAAATGTAGATCTTGGTCTTTCTGGCAATAGCCTTGCCTGCCTACTTATTGTTGAATCCTGTATTTTAAATGACTCTGGTTTATCAGGTGCGTTCTGCTGACTATTGAACCTTAGCATAGCATTGTCAGCAATCCATTTGGGTTGTCTGTTGGTCGTCATTTCCGAAATTCTTCTTAAGTCGCCAAAACATCTTTCCTCTTGTTCAGTGTGAACAGATCGTAAAGAGAAAATTCTAAAAGTGTTAGGAAGATGGACTGTGACACTATGAAAATGACTGCCGTAAAACTTTCTAGACGTCATTTTTAATGGTTTTCCAATGACATTACTGCATACCATACCAAATATTAAAGCCTGATTGAAAAGTCTTAAAATCATCTTAGGTGTTCTTGATTCACTGGGAAGGTATGAAATGTTAACAATTTCAACAAGGGAATTTATAAGCTGCATAATGTTGTCCTCTATTTTTCCATTACCATGTAAATCTGATGTAAACTGGGCCAATTTAATTAAAAACAGACGAGCATCTGATCCTTTGATCTGGTTTTTGTCACCAATTGTGCTGTTTGAAAAATTTGAAAACTGCTTTTGAACGGATGAATCAGAGATATGAAATGGTAACTCTGTAATTACGTTTTGGATTACATTCGTTAAATCATGTAGGGGTTCACAGCCAAGAATTTCATATTTTCCAATGTTTAGATCTTGTGATGTCAGGTGTGGACTGTTTGTCATCAATGCTGGTGGTCTACAAATACCATGCAGTGTCGTAGTCAAAATGGCTTGAAGGTCTGGTTTAAGGGAACAGTCAAAATCAATTTTCCTGCTGTCTAACTCTGTCATGATTTCATCTTTTTTCAGGTTTTGATAGGGGTTTAGACAGCCTTTTTTCAATTTCTGTAGGGAATTTGATGAAGTGGCCAACCTGCATCTGTCATCCAAATCTTGAGCAGAAACATGGAAGCAATGGAGTAGATTGGTATGTTGTTCAGCATGAACTCCACAAAGACATGGGTAATTTCCTCCTCGTTGTTGACCACCTTCAAACTGCCTGGCAGGTCCATCTCCGCTAAAAAGTCGTAAGCAGTCCTGTATTTCATAGTCGTCATGTTTGATTGGGGTGTCTATATCTTCCAAGTCCTCCAGTCTAGTTTCTACATATGTCATTTGTTCTTCATCTTTACAACCTGCATTTAATATTTGAATGAATTAATTTTATAAGTGGCATCATATACAGGTCTCCAAGTTGGGTTTTTTTGGGTTCAAAAATTAATAAAATCATAGATTCTGAGTTCTACATTCTTTTTCTTGTGCATTTTTATTTTTTTTTGTGGGGGGGGGGGGGGGGGGGGTTAAAGGGTAATTAAGCTTTGCTCACAGAACCATTAGTAACGCAAAATTAAATAGCTGTGAAATGGTAAAACACGAAATAAAGTATCCGCCAAAATAAGTTGGTTTTTACTGGTTCACCGTTCAATGTATCTTTGAGGTGTTTTTTTTTTATTATTATGTTGGTGAATTAAATGTCTCGAATGAACAATTAAGCAGCTAACATATATTTTGGTATGAATTAAAATTTTGATAAATTTCACAATAAGAAGTGATTAAATACAGGAAATTTAGTGTCCATTGTTAACAATTTCTTTTAGGGGGAACATGTGTGGATGTATACTATTTATGTACTATATGATTTATAAAAATGTTTTATCTTGTACAATCATTTTTTTCAGCATCACGATAAAAAGAATATCCGGCAATAAATGGAATACAGATTTTCTATATAGGACAATGACAGAGCAGGTAATTTTTATACGACCGCAAAAAAATTTTTGTGGTCGTATATTGGTATGACGTTGGCGTCGTTGTCGACGTCTGAAGACACATTAGTTTTCGCACTCTAACTTTAGTTTAAGTGAATGGATCTCAATGACATTTTACCATAAGGTTCAATACCACAAAAGGAAGGTGGGGATTGATTTTGGGGGTTATGGTACCAACACTTAAGGAATTAGGGGCCAAAAAGGGGCAAAAAATAAGCATTTTTGTAACTTCTAGACATAACTTGTGTGTAAGTGTATGGATCTCTCTGACATTGTACCACAAGGTTCCATATCACAAGGGGAATGCTGTGATTGATTTTGGGGGTAATTGCCTCCAAATTTTAGGAATTAGGGGCCAAAAAGGGGCAAAAAACAAGCATTTTTCTAGTTTCATGACAATAACTTGTGTGTTATTCATGGTGGTGCCACATGTGAGCAGGATCTGTCCTTTTTTTAATAAACTATACATATGACCTGAAAAGAAAATATGAGAAATTATATTTTAGTTAATACACTTAATTTGGACTAACTGGTCTGAACTAGGAATATCAACATACCTTAGCCGTATTTGGCACAATTGGAATTTTGGGTCCCCAATGCTCTTCAACTTTGTACTTGTTTGGCTTCATAACTATTTTGATCTGAGCGTCACTGATGAGTCTAATGTACACGAAACGCGCGTCTGGCGTATTTAATAATAATCCTGGTAACTTTGATAACTATTGTACATGTATACAATACTTCATAAAACATGGAGGCTAAAATTTACTGGTCTGAACAAACTAAAACTCAACAAGGAGCCTGTATCTTTCACCTGGCATGTATGTATATTACCATTTTCTTGTTTCAAGGGTCACAATTAGGTCAAAAGTAGGTCAACTGGAACAAAACTCAAATGTGATCATTAACTTGTCATTATACTATTATTTATTTAATATCAGCTCAATGTCTGCAAGGGGGGCTGACGACAAGGAAAAATCTTATTTTCATGAAGTCCAAGGCCCGTAATTAGGTCAAAAATAGTTCAACTGGAATAAAACTTATAAACTATAGTCATATTAATAATTACATGTAAAGCCATAAAAGATGACCATTTGCCTATTTTATCTCTTTGTTCTATATATAGTAACGGCAGCCATGTTGGTTGGTCGGCGGCACAAACGGATACAATTTTGAAACTAGACTGCCTAAGGATGATTGTGACCAACTTTAGTTCCAATTGGCCTAGTGGTTTCAGAGGAGAATATTTTTGAAAAAGTTTACGGACAGACGGACGACAGACACAAAGTGATATGACAATAGTTCACGAAAAAAGTACACATGCAATGCAGATGACAAGTATATCATTGGAACAACGCTTTAAGTGTTGTTCTCCATCTTGAGGTCCGTGTGAGGCCTTCAATCAGTATAACCATTCAAAATTTATTATGATACAGACAACCAGTTGTTGGCATGACACGGGTTATGTTCTTCTCATATATTTCATGATGGTATAATACTAAACTAAATTTATTACCTATGCCAATCTGTGTATTAGGTAGTCATTAACAGATTAGCATCTCTGAAATTTAAAAAGTTACTTGTCATCATTTATACCTTGATATACAAATGTAAATAAAATTTGGTTATAAATTGTATTTATATAAGTTGGAATCGGACAGATAAGCACTAGTAAGAGTGTGCTTAACTCTTTTCTTAAAATTAATAGTTTAAAGTAAAACTTCACCTGGTTCAGACAGTCACACTGCTATAACATCTATCATTTCAGGATAGGTACATGTACATGCATTTTCCAATAACTCTTCATGACCAGTGCTGTGAATCATAAAAGAAGAAAAAAATTATATAAACATGTGCATGTTTCAAATAATTTTAGGTACAACAACCATTCATTTATCAATTCCACTACAACAATTGACAACAAAATTGCTAATAATCTGAACACAAAAAAAAACCTGTGCGCAACATACTCAAATAGCCTTTATATCATGATGTAACTATTTCCTGCACCCTTCCCCCAAGGGTGACTGGGGAATAGAAGTATGGTCACCATTGGTCTTCCTCCGACCGGCAGTAAAACCCGTGCTAAAGTGGGGCGTCCGTTTGGCTGTGCGGGATGTACAAATTTGCAGCCACGTCCGGTCAGAATGGGGACGTTAAATCCGATGCCTCGTGTAAAGAAAGTGCCACGTTCTTTGCACGTTAAGTACCCTTGCAACAACTATTTGAGGGGTCCGTAGGTGACCTGTTGCAAGGCTAAATTTCTGTCCCTATCCAATATACCCTCATTTCCCGTGGCAGTCTAAATTTCTCCGACCTTAATCCCTTTATCTATTACAGAACCTACCTATTTATTGTGAACTTGTTCTCGTCCTGAATATGCATGAAATATTTGCCACTGGACGTTAAGCAACCAACAATCAATCAATCAATCCTGCACCCTAAATGTACATGTACATTAACAGTAACAGATGACAGAAATACATGCAGCTTATTTAATATAAATGATAGATCAGTATGTAAAAAACATACAAATGTACATGTTGTAATCATTATAAAAGGTATAGCTTTCACTTATAATATAGTTCCTTGACAAGGACAGACAAAAAGTAAATGTCAGATATAGGCTATTTGTCCAGGTCTTGACAATTCAAATATTTGCTATATTGGAGGCGGATTCAGACTTTTCAAAAAGGGGGGCCTGCTACATTCCTTGGGGTGATAATAAAACATATCTGCAACTTACCTAATCAATTGTGTGTTTTGTAGGTTTCGAGAGATTAATGTCACATCTTTAACAAGGATGGTTTCTCTAAAAAATGAAATATAAATTTCTGTTACAAAAATGTACTTGTTGATTTTGATAACACATGGATAAGGAATGTACATGTATAGCAGTACAATGTACATGTATGTTCAAATGATGTTTGATTGATTGATTGATTGTTGGTTGCTTAACGTCCAGTGGCAAATATTTCATGCATATTCAGGACGAGAACAAATTAACAATAAACACAATAGGTAGGTTCTGTAATAGGGGCGTCCGGGATTAAGGTCGGAAAAATTACGACTGCCACGGGAAATGAGGGTATATTGGATAGGGACAGAAATTAAGCCTTGCAACAGGTCACCTACGGACCCCTCAAAGAGTTGTTGCAAGGGTTCTTAACGTGCAAAGAGCGTGGCACTCTCTTTACACGAGGCATCCGATTTAACGTCCCCATTCTGACCGGACGTGGCTGCAAATTTGTACATCCCGCACAGCCAAACGGACGCCCCACTTTAGCAAGGGGTTTACTGCCGGTCGGAGGAAGACCTATGGTGACCATACTTCTATTCCCCAGTCACCCTTGGGGGTCAAATGATGTTTGTAAAACAAATTTTCTTACCAAATACAATAAAGTGAAAAATGTTATAAAAACACATGAAAAAGCCATTTAACAATGTAATAAAACGATTAATTAATCAAAGAATTCAAATATTGATAAGCTTTACAACTTGTAACCTAACAACACTGATAATTAACTCAGGCGCTATGCACCTTGTTGAATTAATGTGTTGTTTAGTCAGTCTTTGAAAATTTTCTGTATTTGAATTCTTCGATTAGTTATTCTATAAATAATATGAAAGAACCTTAGTGAGCGCGCTCACATACCCCACGTCGCCATATTGTCATTGGAGAAATAAAATAACAATTCTTGCAATCCAAGCCGTGTATTATCTTTTACACATTAATGCAATTCAATTTCAAAGAGAGCGTGCGACTTCAAAATTATTTATTTATTTAAAAAAAAAGAATTTTTATCACAATTTGTAAATTAATGTATAAAATTAAAACTCGATTTTGAATAGTTTTAAATGTCGTACACCATTCCCCTTACTCCTTACTCCATACACCATAGCACCATACACCTTCAACCATTGCACAATATGCCCTACACCGTTAAACCATACTCGTTTTTGGGGAAGTTTACACCATCGAAGGGTTGTACTTACCCTCCAATGCATTCACAGTGACTACTGAGCCGTCTTCTTTGTCAACAACAAACCACAACTCTTTATAGTTCTTTGTTAGGTATGTCTTATCTATCTGGGTTGCTTTCACTTCAGCCTTGTGAAACATGGTTTCAAAGAAGATGTAATTTGCAAAATGTTAACTAAATGACTGACAAGAAAAAAGAAATTGACACAATAAGCATACAAGGAAGTATGGGAAAATAAAATGGCTGTTATAATGGAAGAGTATTACCAATGGCAACTGATGCAACTAACCTTTAATTTTGAAGTATCTCTGCAGAATCGATGATATTTAACCGAAGTTGATATGCGCTTATAAGTGGTGTTTCCAGTCGATTCAGCTGATCCTTCACAGCCTAAAAAAACAGTTACAATTTCATGGTGTTGGTGGTTCTTAGACCGAAGAATCTCTACTGAGTTGTTATTTGATCTTGAGTTTTGATGAATTCATCTGGGTCTTTACACATAAATCCTGATAGAATGGTAAGGTAATGTTAAAATACATAAGCTTACAAGCTATACAAAATACTAAAATTAAAAACCCGACAATTCTCAAAATTTTATATGTAATGAGGAATTTAAAAATTCTTCTTAACAGAAATAATATTTCTATGGGTGCCGAGTCATGTTGGAATCCATGGAAACACAGCTGTAGACCTTGAGGCAAAGAATGCCCTGGGTGACACTTTATCTAACTGTGATATACCATATACCGATTTTAAATCTAATATTAGAGAATATGTTTTTAATATTTTGAAAAATGAATGGAGTAAGAGAGATGGTAACAAATTACATGAAATTAAACCTAATTTAGGTAAACCTTTTAATAATTTAATGTGCAAAAAAGATCAGTGTGTTATTTCTAGATGCCGAATTGGTCATACTAGAGTGACACACGAGTATCTTTTAAAAAATGAAGATGAACCACAATGTGTACCTTGCAACTGCAAGTATACTATTAAACATGTTTTAATTAATTGTATTGACTTTGCAAATATTCGGAAGAAGCATTTCAATGTCAATAATATGTATGATATATTTAATAATGTTCCATTTACAAATATTGTTTCATTCTTAAAAGAAGTTGGAATATATTATAAAATATAAAAAATGTTGTTATATTTAAAACGATTTTAATTTTTATCACGTTATCTTAGTGTTGATTTTTATTTGTAAAAAATCAATTTGCTTTAGTCTAGAATTTTAGTTTATTGAAAGACCTTTTGCTGTCAAGCGGAACTTCAGTCAAAGATGTTTGAGACTGTACAAGATCCAATTTCAACTTTTAATACAGTTTTAACGTCAATTTCTGACAGGACTATTCCTAAGACCTCGGCAAATCCGAAACATCCAAGCAAACCATGGTTTGATGATGCTTGTGATCAAGCAATAGGTGACCGTAAAAAATCTGAAAGACGGTTCAACAACCAACGACGGAAAACTTGAGTAATTTCCGTGTTTTTCGCGCTAAGGCACGGCGGACTTGCAGGCAAGCACGACGAACGTCTTGGAAGAAATTTGTCTCGGAGATAACATCTCGCACTCCGATGACAAAAGTATGGAACATGATACAAAAGATAAAAGGTAAAAATTCTAAAGCCACAGTTAAACATTTAAAAAATGGCAATGATTTATTAACATCTGAAAAGGATGTTGCCAACAAGCTTGGTGAAACTTTTGCGAAATCTTCTTCTTCTAACAACTACAGGGAAGATTTTAAAAGAGTTAAAAAACAAAAAGAAAAAATTAAATTAAACTTTGAATCAATAAATGGTGAAAATTATAATAAACTCTTTTCTCTTGAAGAACTTAAAACATCTCTGTCAAAAGCCCATGATACAGCTTGTGGGCCTGATAATATTCACTACCAACTGTTAAAACACTTGCCAGATTCCTCGCTGGAAGCTCTTTTGCAGCTTATGAATAACATCTGGGAATCTGGTGATTTACCATCAATCTGGAAGCTTGCAACCGTCGTGCCTATTCCAAAACCAAGTAAAGATCACACGGATCCTATTAATTATCGGCCAATTGCTCTTACCAGTTGTGTCTGTAAAACACTAGAACGGATGGTCAATGATCGCCTTGTTTGGTTCCTGGAATCCAATGGGCTTTTAGCCAATATCCAGTGTGGATTCCGCCAAGGTCGCAGTACTCTTGACCATCTTGTTCGATTCGAATCATTTGTCCGTAATGGTTTTGCGAAAAATGAACATGTAGTGTCGGTCTTTTTCGATCTAGAAAAAGCCTATGATACTGCATGGAAGTATGGTATTTTAAAAGATCTCTTTGATATGGGGTTGAAAGGCAATATGCCAAATTTTATTTCGAATTTTCTATCTAACAGACAATTTAATGTTAGAGTAAATTCAACCATGTCTGATCTGTATGATCAAGAGATGGGTGTCCCTCAGGGCAGTATTTTATCTGTTACATTATTTAGTCTTAAAATCAACAGCCTTGTTGAAGTTTTAAAAAGTGATATTGAAGGTTCATTGTATGTTGATGACTTTTTAATATGTTATAGAGGCACAAATATGAATAACATAGAAAGACAATTACAGTTATGTCGTGGAAGAATTGAAAAATGGGCCTCGGAAAATGGGTTTACATTTTCCACTTCAAAAACGGTCGGGATGCATTTTTGTAACAAAAGGAAATTGCATCTTGATCCACAACTCACTTTGTACGGCAACCCAATTAAAATGGTTGATGAAACCAAATTTCTTGGGTTAATTTTCGATAAAAAGTTAACCTTTCTACCCCATATCAAAATGTTAAAATCGAAATGTTTAAAAGCATTAGATATTTTAAAAGTTGTCGGCAGCACCGACTGGGGTGCTGATCGCAACATTTTACTTAATTTATATAGATCTCTAGTTAGATCTAAACTAGATTATGGCTCTATAGTGTATGGCTCTGCAAGGAAGTCCTACATACAGATTCTCGATGCTGTGCATCATCAGGGTTTGCGTCTCTGTCTTGGCGCATTTAAAACCTCACCAGTTGAGAGTCTGTATGTAGAGGCTGATGAGCACTCACTCTCTAACAGACGTTTGAAGCTTGGACTTCAATATGCTGTCAAACTAAAAGCCTTCTCAGATAATCCTGCCTACAGCTGTGTTTTTAATCCAATTTATGAAGATATTTTTGCAAAACATGAAAATAAAATTCCTCCGTTAGGTATACGTTTAAAACCACATTTAGCTTCTTTTGATTTCATACTATAATAACACACGAATATCTTTTAAAAAATGAAGTAGAACCACAATGTATACCTTGTAACTGCAAGTATACTATTAAACATGTTTTAATCAATTGTATTGACTTTGCTGATATTCGTAAGAAGCATTTCAATGTCAATAATATGTAAGATTTATTTAATAATGTTTCATTTACAAATATTGTGTCATTTTTAAAAGAAGTTGGAATATATTCTAAAATATAAAAATGTTATTATATTTAAAACGATTTTAAATTTTATCACGTTATCTTAATGTTCATTTTTATTTGTAAATAATCAATTTGCTTTAATCTATAATTTTAGTTTATTGAAGGGCCTTTTGTCTGATTTTAAGAATATGCTTTAAATTGTAAAAAATATTCGAATTAGCTCTCGCCGCGATATAGCCTTGTTGTGCTAATGAGGCGTAAAGCAACCAACAATCAATCAATCAATGAAAGACCTTTTGTCTGATTTTAAAAATATACCTGAAATTGTTATAATATTCGAATTAGCTCTCGCCGCGATATAGCCTTTCTGTGCTAATGCGGCGTAAAGCAAACAACAATCAATCAATCATCAGAATGGAATGCGGGGCACCACTTTGTCTAGCCTGTAATTTACTATGCAAGTATTTGTGTTGATTATGTTCCTTCTTCCGACAATTGTTCAGTATGTTGGGGACAGTCTAATTAGTGAATTATTATTTGAATTCATATTTAAGTAGATCTGTATTCTGTCATTCGTTTCTTTTATAAACAAGACAATGTTAAATTGTCCCGGTTTTTAGTTTCCTGCAGTTTAATCTCATTTTTCTTTTCAATATCTGCCAACTTCGTATCAAGTAAATAAAATTTCTGCTGGAGCTGATCCAAAATTTAATGAACTTTTTTCAACCCAGATAAAAAACCCAGTTAATATTTGTCCAATGCTATAAATAGACTAATATTTCAAACTATTTACTGCGGTCATATGATCAAGTTTTAAAGTTTCTCAAATCAACTGATTTCAGTTTATCGACATGATTTATGATTTATTACTAGAATATGTTATTGAAATTTTTCATTTTGGAATCTCAAGGAAACAATCCATCGTTGGCATTTTGTGTTGTGACAACGTAGTAAAGAGTAAAATCACAAAAATACTGAACTCCGGTTCATTAATTACAGGAGCGTTTTGGGCATCCCATCATACATATGTCTAAGTCCTTGGTAAAATTGAATGATTGGCCCTACACCTGTTATTATCAGGACACATAAGTGTAACTTAAGTAATCTTTTGAATGAGTTTTGTGAGGATACCGAGTATCACATAACCCTATTGTTCCAGAGTGATTTGATTTGATTAAGAGGAGTTTTCTTTCGAAATGATCGAAACGACCTCAACCCCTCGTTTTTGGTTGATCTTGATAATATGCACCTAAGAAAATGGAAGTTGTTTTATATTTAATCGGAACACGTGTTTATAAATCTCAATAGGTTATCGTTTTCAACTGTTAAATCACAAGACCAAGTTGGCCATTGATCGTGTGAATGCTGAAGCAAACAAAGACCATTCTACCATATATTGCTCGATAGAATTTCACTTAAATGTATTCCACGGCTTGCAACGTAGACTGGATTTATATGATCTTATATTGGTTGTTACATAGCTGTATCGGTACATTGTCTGATTTCCTTTACACAATAACATTTGTTTCTTCAACTCTATCATATGAGTGACACGCTACCATTTTGTCTATACAGTTTTCTTCTGTGGTTATTTGATGATGACTTTTAACAAATGTTAAGCATTTCACTCCAATAATAACGACAAGAAGTTTTAATTGCGGAGTGCTAATTCCAAAATATCAAGTTTGCACGACAAGATTGTCTGTTTCCTGA